GCAGAGAAGATTTCAAGCCACTGAGCGCAGTTTAAAGGAAAGTTTATTAAGACCGGCAGAAGTAAGTGGCGGTGTGTAATCCTGAGGCAGCTGTTTTAGAATCATAGTATATACTGTCTACATACGAGTCCCAGGAGCGTCAGTGTGCAGATACAGATCTTTTTAGAGCAGACTGAGAGATGAGAGGAGAGTCTGGAGGAACAATCTAGTAAGGTATGGACAATTTTAAAATGTTGGGAAATACAACATGTCATTAAGTGAGAACATGGGTGGATTACATAAGATAAGAAAGTCTTTATTCCTCCCGCAGTGGGGGCATTTCGATCATCACACTACACACACTGACATAATCCTCCAAAAGGACACTGTGAAGGGGGTGGAAACATCCCCAACATCTTCCAGCATGAGTCTCCGAACCTTGAGAAACCAAACCTGAGAGTCGAATGCCCCAAAACATCTCAGCTCTAGGACAGATCTGCATGAAGAATGGTCCAAAATACCAGTTACAGTGTGAAGAAGCCTTTGCCAACAAAGGTTACAATACAAGCACTGAGTTGAACTTTAATTATTGTCCATTCCTCTTTATACAAATAAAAGAAAATGTTTAAAACATGTTTTAGTTTATTTCCTGGATTATTTTAATTTTTTTTATTAAAATTTGGAAAAAGAAGAGCCCATCTCATTTTTTTTACGTGGTAAAAATAACACAATTGGCAACAGACAAATACTTATTTCTTATTTTAATTATAGAAAAGCAACAATTGCATCTTAAGTAGACGATATAGTAGAAACATGCATAAAAGAGATAGAGGTAAAACCACTTCATAAAAACACTTTGAATTGTGCTTTCAATCTGTAAATCTGACAGTTTGCCTGGACTTTTCACTTTTCTTTTGATGCCACGATAGCAGAAAATCCAATCATACGGCAGCACCTGGAACACGCCGCACAAACAAGGCAAGGTCACTGCGTGTCCTTCACCCACCTGCTCGCCTCCACGCCGCTGCAGAAGCCAGGTGTGTGGCGCTACCATCTGTTAAGGTGACGATGTCTGCATAAGACATGTTTGTTCATAAAACATATGTATTGGATCACTTTTAATTTGAGCCGGAGCCGTTAAAACACGGCAGCCTGATAGCCATCACAGGAATATCAGGAATTTCTGTCACAAACATATAACCCCACCCCTTCTGTAATACTATGATGTCATTGTAGCACTTTGAGCAACAATTAGTGCTTCTACATCTTATTTAAAAAAAACTGAAACATTTACCTTCCTTTCTTCAAGGAGTGAACATTAGATGGCTAAAAAGTTTTCCACTCATTCTTTCATCTCTAGACAAAAAGCCAACCACTGTAACCTAAGCTTCCGTGTCAATATCTTTCAAGGCAAAAGTCCATCATGCTGAAACAGTCCGTTTTCCCCCAGTTCATCTTCCATCAGAGACGTATTCTTTATTCACTGTGTTCTGTTCAAACCATTTCAATCATTCTACATTTGCATATTCCCCAACAAAAAACGTCCACGGGCCTCTTTTCAATAACGCATTTGTGTAAGCCAGCTCCCAGTGTGGTATTGTACCGGCAAAAACAAGCTCGTGGAGCAGAAGCCAAGGTCAAGCGCGCCAATCCCATTTATCCATTCATTCAGACAGCTAGCATCTTAGCGCCTCTCTTGTTAGCCCAGAGTTTAATTAGTAAATGGATTGAGAGTGAGGCGCTGAACCATTAGCGAGCGCATCGGGCTGTGGCTTCTGAGATGTGAATGTTTTGATTGATGGATGCTGTGCAGGGAGCGGGGAAGGAGTCAGAACAAAGGTTTTCTCATTCCTAATAAGTCTTAGCTCAGTTCAGATTTACACGACTCAAAAAGATTGGTATAATTGGCAAGATAGTGTTGATCAATTTTGTTCGGTATTTTCTTTTGATGTCAAAACATGAACAGCATGACACGGATGTGTACAGTATATATACTTTCTACTTGAACCAGAACATACTTTGGTCGATGCAAAGATCAAATAGTTTAGACTTATTGACTTTTATCATGCACCTCCTTATTAAAAACAGCAAACAGTGATTGTAATATTATAACTTTGTAATTCACCTTACACCACTAATTTGCACAATTTCTGCAATTTTCTGCTAAATGTTAGTTATTTAGTATCTTGCACATTGTGACTTGGAACTGTAACTACATTGGTAACTTGCACTTTTTATTAAACTGTATTTTATAAGTATGTTGTATGTATGTATTATCAAGGACCTGTTGGACATACATAAAAGGTCACATGGACTCAAACAGTGATAAATGTTTTGCATGTTGGGCATTTTGTGGAGACCTGAGGTTATGGGATAAACATGGTTCAGATATAGTTTCTTGCAATAGAACTTACGAGACATGAATTTTATAAGATCAGTAATCCATAATTGCTTTTTTATTATGCTAAAGATTTTTATTTTATTTTATTTTAGTAAGTTATTTTAGAGTTATTGTTCACTTATCTTGCGCTGTGTGCTCCTCATTCCCATTGTTCTGTAACTGGTTATGCAAAGTAAAGGTAAGGGTGCACTTTACCCCGTAGGGCAATTCAATCCTCTGCATTTGATCCATCCTGATGCCGCCAAGGCTTACGTCAGGAGCAGTGGTCGCCATAGTACAGCGCCCGGGAACCCATCTCCAGATGTTTATGCTCGGCTTGGTCAGGACTACCGGAGCTGGAGGATTTAACCTAGTGAGCATAATTTTTAGTGGTAGTGGAAACTCAGAAAGACCCTGTTCCGACCGGGATTCAAACTCAGGACCTTCATGCTGAGAGGCGAGAGTACTATCCACATAGCCACCGTGCCTCAAGACTGACATTTCCCCACTGTGGGACGGATGAAGAATCTCTTAACTGCTAAACTGTTTATATCTGGTTGTGTCAGGATGAAAATGATGAAAATGATACGTTCTGGGTTAGATCAAGGTTTGTGTTTGGATATTCATAATTTTGTCCTGATTCCGACCTGTTTTTTAGGGCTCTCGCCTCACAGTAGGGAGTCCTTGAGTTTGACTAACGTTTGATTGCCGACAACGGGACAATCTCATAAAACACAGGGATGGTGAGCACTGGTTTGCACAGTTTTGCTCCTGAACAAGGACATATATTTCACAGACTTGTTGACACACAGCCCTCCGATGTGGAATCACTGCAGAATGAAATGGAACTGTGAACAAATATGTATTTTCAATGAAACCGCCAATTTAGAAACAGCTCGTCTGTATGAAGAGCTTGTCCAGTTGTCTCTTCAGCTTGGTTTTGGTCAATTTAGAACATTCTTTGGGGATTCAAACCACAAAGGCACCGGTTCAGTAAAGAAACACTGGGCTTGTTTTGAGCGTAAATGTATTTTTATATTTTCTCCATACAACTCTTCTTACGATCTTACACAGTTATTACAGCACAGAGCAGTATCTGTGAAGCAGCTCCAAATGTGGAGCTCAGCCATCCTCAACTTTGCTTTATCTTTTTCTCAACTCTGAGGAAAGAAAGAGGCACCTGTCCTGTACTCCTTGAATAATTACAAAACATAATGCAAATAAAATCCACAGTGAACTGTCTACTGACATTTCCCCACTGTGGAATGAATCCTAATCTTATTATTAGGCTGAAATCTCCCACTTTTTAAAGGTCTCATACTACGCTATTTGACTTGTCTCTGGTTTAAACATCATTACAGTGCTATTTGAGTAGCTTCTTCATTGATTCCCTCAAGCTTTAGTTAGAGAGTTATTTTTTCTCTTTCATTCTTGAGAGGCAGCAAAACCCCTTGGTTCACTTTATTACACGGCATGAGCCAGAGGAGCCCGCCTCCAACAGGTGATTGACAGGAGACAGAAACCAAAACAGCGAATCAGCGCTCACAGCCGTTCCCAGCGTATGGACCTGCTGCCACAACCTGTCTTATGTGCTGTTTTTCTGCTATTTTCAGCTACTAAAAGTGTTAGCATCATGTCAACTTGGAGAAATTGTGTTTTTGGTGTAAATACGTGACAACACTATTTATCCCAAAGACGAATGCGGCCAATGTGGCTGGACTTATTTCACAGGGATCTGCCTCTGAAATCCGCTACAAATCTCTTTATCTGCGACTGACACTTAACCAAAGAGTGTTCCAGAACTACTGCTACCTTGAAACTGGACTCAAAAGATGGTCTTGAAACATGATGCTATTACCACAATAGAAGACGCTATCAAGGAGTCTAGACCTGTAAGTACAATGCAACTAGCTCTCCATATACTAAAGTCAACTAGATAACTAGGGTCAGATTCTGGATCAAGGACATAGGGCCCTTCGTGTCGGATAGAAATGGCTGGAAAAAGTGTATTCTCAGGTCTGAAACGACAAGGTGGACCTAGATAGCGTGAGGCTACATCACCGCGCCTGTGGAGACAAGCTCACAGGAAAGAGCACAGATCAGCTCGTTTCAATTGAGATTACATCAACTCTATGCAATAAATTTCTATAATTTTTGATTGTGGTGTCTCACCTAAATTATTATCACACATGTGCATAGGATAGACTGTGAAAATGAAAAAGAGCGAAACGTGGGACCTTCCAGGTTTTAAGCTCCATAGACAGCTCACATTTCTCACTTAAAATTGTTGTATGGTGAAGGATGTGACGCTATGTCTGTGAAAAACACTATATTGATAAAGTTCATGCACTTACTTTCCCTGAGCCTCTGATGCAGAAAGAACAACACCAGTCTTTTTTATAGTGACAAACACACCTGTTTATATTATATATTTATATTTTAGCTGTTTTAGCTGTAATCTATTTGTTTTCTCTTATTATTGAAGTAATCTCATGTAACACCTGATGCTCAAACTGTGGTGCAGAGTTTGGGTTCTTAAGTGCACATGCTGCCATCTCATATGTTGGCGTATGTTGTGTGTGCGTGTGGTGATGGATGAGCAGAGGCATGTGGTGCAGGGAGTGAGGCTGAGGGTTCTGGGTCATGGGGAAACGGGGATTAGGGCCCGGGACAGTGATGGATGCCGCTCACCGATCCACTTGTCGTTGCCGTACCAGGACAGATTGCCTTTGGTGCTGTCGTAGTATCCAATCTTCTTGTAGCTGCCGTCTGTGGACACAAACACAAAGACGCAGGCGGGTTAGGAGGAGAGCATTGTGGATTTTCATCAGTGCGCTAACACACAGGCAAAAACACACACACACAGACAGACAGACACACACTAAAGCGCAGAGCAGAGACGAGATGGAGGATGAAGTCGGGATGTGTCAAACTTTTCCTGTCTGTCGGATAAATCTACTTCCAAGACTAGAGCGTGGTGTGTGCACAAAACTGGGATAGTGCAAATACATTGTTGAATGACTGCTTATCATTATACATATATATTTATACATTTATACTAGGGCTGTCAAACGACTAATTTTTTTTAGTTGATTAATCACATAGTAATGGTGAGTTATCTCACAATTAATCGCATTTTTAACATTCTATTTCAAATCCACTCCAATTGAAGTTAAATTTGATTTTAAAATGTAATGACACATTGGTATTCATACCAAATGCACTTAAATCTGTTTGACTTGCTCACAACCTTCTACTTTTGGGCACAACCAACAAGAGCTGTTAATGAAAGGGAAAATGTAGGTACCCCAGCTTTAATTTTGTGAGTTTGGTTGCATTTCAGCGTGTCTCCTCCTCTCCTCCGTGTGTCACACAACATCAGAGAATGGCCCTGTGCATGTATATATAAGAGTGTATTATATGACCACGTTACCGCTGTCACCATCACACACGCACGTGTCCGTGGTATTCTAAGTGATATTATTATAAATGGGCGGGTCATTCGGACATGCGATTGACTGCCAGCCTATTTCAGAACAGGTACTCCCATATTGCCAGCCGTTTCTGATGATTTTTACTGAATTTTCAAGACCCACAGAATATTGTGTACTATGACTATCTGAAATCCTGAAAGAATGGACTGTCTATCTTCATCAGCAAAAATAATTTTGTTTCTAGCTTGTTTTGTTCCCCTGCATGTCCATGTAAATGTGCAAACATGTTACATGCAGGATATATGTACAATAAAAGTGACAATAATTATGTACAACAAAAGTGACAAGTGTCAATTGGAAACAGTGTCAATAGTAGTGCAGGTTTTCACACAGTGATCATTTAAAGTGACTTATTGTACAGTCTGACAGCGGTGGGGATAAAGGCCCTGCGGTAGCGCTCCTTCCTACACTGAGGGTGCCTTTGTCTTCCACTGAAGGAGCTCCTCAGCTCCTCTGCAGTCCTGTGCAGTGGGTGGGAGGTATTGTTCATGATGGAGGTGGCTTTGGTTAGCACCCTCCTGTCCCTCACCTCCTCCACAGAGTCCAGGGGGCAGCCCAGAGTGGAGCTGGCCCTCCTGACCAGCTTGTTCAGTCTGTTTCTGTCCCGCTCTGTGCTGCCCGGGGCCCAGCACACGGCAGCGTAGTAAATGGCAGAAGCTACCACAGAGTCATAAAAAGTCCTGAGCAGAGACCTGCTCACTCCGAAGGACCTCAGCCTCCTCAGAAGGAAGAGGCGACTTTGTCCCTTCTTGTGCAGGGCGTTTGTATAATGGGACCAGTCCAGTTTATTGTTAATGTGAGCACAGGTACTTGAAGCTGTCCACCAGCTCAATGTCCTCCCCCTGGATGTTCAGCAGCGTGTGGGAAAGTGGTTTTCTCCTGAAGTCGATGATCATCTCCTTGGTCTTACTGGTGTTCAAGCACAAGTGGTTTCACTCACACCAGTCGACAAAGTCCGTGATAACCGACCGATATTCCAGTTCGTTCCCCTCAGACACACAGCCCACGATGGCGGAGTCGTCGGAGAACTTCTGCAGGTGACAGCTGTGTGTGTCGTGTGTGAAGTCTGAGGTGTAGATGGTGAAGAGAAACGGTGAGAGGACAGTGCCCTGAGGGGCCCCAGTGCTGCAGACTACCACCTCAGACTCACAGCTGCGCAGCCGCACGTACTGTGGTCGGTCTGAGAGGTAGTTGATGGTCCATGCAGTGAGGCTACTGTCCACTCCCGCGTCCTCCATCTTCCCCTGCAGCAGTGCCGGCCTGATGGTATTGAAAGCGCTGGAGAAGTCGAAAAACATGACCCTCACAGCGCTCCCGGCGGGCTCCAGGTGGGAGAGCGTCCGCTGCAGGAAGTAGAGGACGGCGGGGTGTACTGTCCGAGGTGGGGGCTGGGGATGCGGGGGCAGGAGGGCCCGGGGCAGCCGGAGGCAGTGTCCACTGGGCGGTGTCCACTGGGCTGGGGACGTGTGAAGAAGTGGGGGCGGGAGGCGCACGCAGATGGAGAGGGGGAGAATCAAACCGGTTGAAGTACTGGTTAAATTCATCCGCCCGGTGCTAGTCTCCATCCGCTGTTCCTCTGGCACTCTGTCCAAAGCCGGAGATGTTCTTTAGGCCTCTCCACACGTCACGGGCGTTTCCCTGGGCTCCCTTCTGCTCCAGCTTTTTCCCATAGTCCTTCTTGGCCCTCCTGATCCTCCACTGGAGCTCGTGCTGGATCCTCTTCTGCTCCTCCCTGTCCCCTGAGATGAAAGCCCTTTTCTTGAGGTTCAGGAGGGCTTTAAGCTCAGGGGTCACCCATGGGTGGTTGTTAGAGAAACACCGCACCTTCTTAGTTGGTACAGTGTTATCCACACAGAAGAGAATATAGTCTGTAATGCAGTGTGTCAGGCTCTCAATGTCCTCACCATGAGAGCTGCAGATCATTTCCCAATCAGTGTTTTGAAAACAATCTCTCAGCATCTCATCCACATCATCGCTCCACACTTTCACAATCCTCTTCTGCGCTGGATTTCTTCTCACCACTGGTGTGTATTCCGGAGACAGACGGACCAGGCTGTGATTAGAGCGTCCGAGAGGGGGGAGGGGGGAGGAGGCGTATGCGTCCCGCACATTAACATACAGTAGGTTCAGAGTCTTATTGCCACGAGTTGGGCATGTGACATACTGTTTGAATGTCGGGAGAGTGGCGGAGAGGGAGGTGTGGTTAAAGTCTCTGCTGATCAGGGGACTGCGGGTCTGGATCTGGGTCACAGTTCTATGGATCTCCTCACATGCCGCGGCCCCGTCTCCTGACGGGGGGATGTAAACACATAGAACTACGGTGTGTGAAAACTCCCGCGGCAGATACCTGGGTCTCATGCTCACAGCGAGCAGCTCCAGGTCCTGTGTGCATGTACGCTGAACCACATGCACATGCGTCGGGATGCACCACTGCTCGTTCACGTAGACCGCGACACCCCCGCCTTTCCTCTTCCCACTCGCCTCCGCGCAGCGGTCCGCTCGCACAAGTTTAAATCCTTCCAGCGCGACCACAGAGTCCGGTATATTCCCACACAGCCACGTCTCAGAGAAACACATAAGTCCACATTGTCTGTACGCTTTTTGATGGCGGACCAGTGCGGTCAGCTCCTCAGTCTTATAAGAGATGGACCGTACGTTCCCCATGAGGATGGAGGGGAGATACGGTCTCTTCTTCCTCTTTCGGCCTCCTCTGGAGCCCCTGAGTCTCCTACGGATCTCCAAGGGGATCACCGGCTTCTCTGAGCGCCTGAAAGCGGAGTCTCTAAGTCCGAGAAGCTGCTCCCGTGTGTAAACAATGGGACACGCTGGTCTCGTGGCTCTGTGAGCGGAGGACTCCGAAAAAAGTGCTGAAGACATGTTAATCCAGTGAGAAAGTCCACGAGGCTAGGCTTCCCGTGTGCACAATGCACAAATAAACGCTTGCCTACAAAAAATAAAAATAAAAAAGCACATCTACAATAAATAAATAGAGAAAGGGTCGGAAAGAGAAGAGAGCCAAAGTGACAAGCTGCACAGCGGGAGCTGGCGCCGGAAGACCCACAGTGCTTCACAATTAAAACCAAAAGATAGCATATTTAAACCTTCTAAAACACACAAGAGGCTATAAAGAGTCATAGACATGAACTCTTTTCAGGCTGGACTATAGCCAGAGTAGGAGCCACATGAAAAAACTGGATGTGAAATGTGCAACAAACAACTAACTAAGAAGAAAAAAAAAATATATGTATATATTGATTTGCTTTAGATACCAAATAATGGAAAATCTTCAGATAACCTGATCTATATGTTTTCAAATATCAGTATTTTCCATAACAGGGTATGTGTCGTCGTGGTCCTTAAACAGCCAGCGCACCCCTATGTCAGAATGTACATTTCCCTATTTCTGTTTCTAAAGTTCATTGTATGACGTCATAGTTTTTATATCTGTTCATAGCCACACGAACAGACCCAGGACTGAGGCTGCAGACCCAGGACTGAGGCTGTAGACCCAGGACTGAGGCTGTAGACCCAGGACTGAGGTTGTAGACCCAGGACTGAGGCTGTAGACCCAGGACTGAGGCTGTAGACCCAGGACTGTAGACCCAGGACTGAGGCTGTAGAAGTGGCTCCTATACAGGGTGGGGGGTGTAGCCCATGGGTCGGGAGCAACCAGCTTTAATTGCCGGAACCCGATGTTTGATGTTGAAAGAGAACAATATCATTTCTCACTTCTACCACCATCAAACATATTAGAATTATCTGACGTTGTTGTGTTTGTTGCAGATCTACAAAGTCCATCTACAGAATGGGGTTCACCTGTGATCAGTGTGGAAAGACCTGCAGCTCTGCTTCTGATCTAAAGAGACACCACAGAACTCACACTGGAGGAAAACCATACGAGTGTGATCTGTGTGGAACATGTTTTACTACAAAACAAAGTCTCATGGTCCACAACAGAATCCACACTGGAGAAAAACCCTTCAGCTGCGACGATTGTGATCAGAGTTTTAGACAAGAGGGTACTCTCAAAGATCATCAGAGGATCCACACAGGAGAGAAACCATTTGAGTGTGACCAGTGTGAAAAAACATTTAGGAGAAAACATCAGCTCTCACTACATCAGCATGTCCACACAGGAGAGAGACCTCACCAATGTGACCAGTGTGAAAAGACTTTTACATGTTTATCTGACCTCACTGTGCACTACAGAATCCACACTGGAGATAAACCATTCGTCTGTGGAGACTGTGGGAAGACGTTTACTCAGTCTTCACACTACAAAGCACATGAGAGAATCCACACTGGAGAGAAGCCCTTCAGCTGCGACGATTGTGGTCAGAGTTTTTTCAGAGTGGTGATCTCAAAGTGCATCAGAGAATCCACACTGGAGAGAAACCATTTGCATGTGGCTTCTGCAGTAAAACCTTTAAAACAGCAACACAGCGCACAGTTCACCATCGGAGCCACACTGGAGAGAAGCCGTACGAGTGTGACCAGTGTGGAACCTGTTTTTCCGAAAGAGGACATCTTAACCAGCACAAAAGAATCCACACTGGAGAGAAGCCCTTCAGCTGCGACGATTGTGGTCAGAGTTTTTCTCAGAGTAGTAATCTCAAAGTGCATCAGAGGATCCACACTGGAGAGAAACCATTTGTCTGTGAAACGTGTGAAAAGTCTTTTACTACTGGTTCATCTCTTACTAAACACATTAAAACCTGTAGAGAAGCAGGTCTGAAGCAGGTCTGAAGCATCTGGACCAAAGTGAAGGAGACAGAGCTGAGGCTGCATCCTGTGAACCCAGAGTCAGACTCTACAGGATCTCACTTCAGTCTTAACTCCTGGTTTGGGGAAAGAATCCATACTGTTCAGTGTTTAATTTTCATGTTTGACTTTTCTGTTCCTTGTTGTGACTCTATGATGTTGGTTTGTTGTGTCTTTTCTGTAATAAGTTCCTGTGTCCTGTTTTTCAAGGATCAAGTTTTTGCACTTCCCTCAGTGTTTGCTTCAGTTCAAGAACAGATCATAATAAATAACATTTGAGTTGAGTCTTATTTTCCTCCATGTTTGTAAAGTCTTTGAATAATATGAAGGACATGAATCGTAGTCGTAGCTCTGGAATCCAGGGTCAGTGAGTAAGAGCTGCGTCTCCGAGCACTGGAGTCTCGAGCTAGCGCCAGCATTAGCTACAGCCAGGCCGTATCCTCAGGGACAGCGGAGCGCAGCTTTAGGGAAAGGCAGAGGAGAACTAGCGAGCCTAGCCTCCCAGCCCGTCCTCCGCAGCTGGGACAAGACCAGGATAGTGATGGCTTTGTGACTGTTCGGAGAGGGCCACGTGTTGTTGGTAGTTTCCCCATTGGGCCTCCTCCTGTTAGCATTTACAATCGCTGGGACGCTCTGTCCGGCTGCGCCCCGCACGGGCCGGGCGGGGAAGAAGGCCCCACTGAGAGAGCCGATGGAGTCGCTGATGCGCTGTCACTAAACTTAAGAAACTTTAGAAACTTAAATCTGGGACAATTTTCATTTTACTCACAATGGAGCCCAGAGCTCTCCTGCAGACTCACACAGTGGCGGAGCCAGACTTTTAAACAGAGGGTGGCCAGGGGGTGGCAAGGGTTTTTTTGAGGGGGTCCACATTTATACTATTCCGAAATTTTATTTTGCACAAAAACTGGCTAAACGATACATTTTAATCTTAATCTTGTCATTATTTTTAATATAAAGTGAACTGAGAGCACACTTGGAAACTACAAAGCAAAAAAGTGTGTTTAAATAGTAGTCTGAACAAAAAAGTGCAAAATAACATCATTCAAACATTGCATTACATTTTTCTTTTAACAAATTTAGCAAATTCCTGCGGTTCTGGTGTAAAGCAGCAAAGATGTTGACAAACTCATCCATATTGAGCCCTGAGCCTCCTTTACCCTACACTGAGGATACCAAGATGACTCAATCATCTGCCATGGTCGTTCTGAGATGGTTTTTAATAAGTTTTAGGGCAGAGAAACTTATTTCACAAGACGCAGTACTGACAGGTATTAAAAAGATCTTTGCAAGCCTCAAAAGCTCATGAAACACTTTCCAAACGTTCCAAAAGGACAAGGAAGTCCAATAGGGACTCTCTAATCCATTTTTTCCTCCCAAGAAGCCGCCTAGTTTGACGTACTTCATGCTTAACGTCCTCTATATCTGACTCAAAGGTTCTGCCAAATGAAAACAGGGGCTCTTCTTTCAAAAATTT